AAGCCCTTCATAATTTATGTTTAGGGCAGCTGTGCCAGCTACAAAGGTCATAAATAGGGTACTAAATTTTTGGCCACGCCATAAATAGGGTAGCAAAAATCGCAGATTTTGGTCATAAATAGGGTAGGGGTTTTGGGAAGTGGGTCGCACACCCCTACCCAACTTTTCTGGGAGTACCCCCCCCCCCCCCCGATCAAACTTATTTTCACATGAAAATTTCTGCACGAAGACTCGTTTTGAAACAGATGCAGGAGGTAACTCGGAAATGGCCTATTGCTATGTAAGTCCACAACAAGAAATCATTGAAGATTCGACATTGCTGATGTTTTTTCTCCGTTCTACTGAAATAAGTGTTGGGATTTACTTTCATATTACACCTTAAAACAGTCACACTTCCATTGAAGTCGTTAAAAAAGTGCGTTAAGAAGTTATTATTTAAAGTGGTCTTACTTTAACTGATAAATCTCTTTGGTTAGGGATCATTTCGGGGTCAGTGCGCAAAATTCCGCGGATTAGATTATTTGAAAGCCGATTACACACTAATCCAGGTTTTAATTTCCTTTGTATAAAACTAACTTTCAGAGCTAATGCTAGCTTGAGATTAGCCGATGTGAAAAAATACTACAAAAATCCTCGCTGAAAAGTTTTACAACAAAATCAAAATTCGCGCTCATCTCGGATTAGCTTCAATCGTGCTTTGAACAACTGCCCCCGCGACTTCTCAGAACTCATTCTGAAATATTGAATGATAAGACAAATACCATGAGAGAAAAACCTGCGAATCACTCCTTAGGTAATCAAACATTATTTACCTGAAGTTCCTTTTCAGAAATTCCCTTTCCCTCGGCTAAAAAGCACACGAGAACAAATGTCAAAGAAATGGGGTTAAACTGTGTCCAAGTACAAGCTGAGAATAGCAGCTAAATACAGAAATTGTATCGCGTTAAAATGCACTCCGATTAGTTTAAATGCCACTTTGGTTATCCTGAACAGCACTCTGGTTAGCCTGCAGAGCATTGCGGTTAGCCTGAGTAGTTCTCCGGCCCGTGCTCCGGCTAGATTAAGCCAATGTTGACATAGGAGATATGGTTAGCCCTTTTAAAGGCGCAATTACTGAACTGATCTGCATGCAAACTGAACCCGGAATGACTGATATTCAAGAGGACTTAACTAATCCGCGGGAGGAAGCTGACGATATAAAACCATTTAAGAAAATAAATAATAACCGGAAAGGATTGGGGGCTGATAACCCAGTGGAATTCTGATGACCTTGTGGAGCGCAAATAACCGAGGGGAGGGCTGATAACCTTGTGCAAGGCAGATTAACTGAGCAAGTGAAAGGCTGATAACAGACTGGATTTCGAGTAATCTTATGGATGGTTGAAAACCGAGCCGGGAAGTGAAGATAACCCGTTATGGCTTTTACCTGATCGGGCGCTCTAGTTTCAAGCTATTCATTTCAAGTTTAAAGGAAATGTGTCACGGATTTTAGCCAAATTTTGTAGGCACAAGAAAATGGCTATCAGATTGATTGAAATATTTAAATTACCACTTAAAACAGTGAAGGGACATTCAAATAACACAACAAATACAAAAGAAGGTACAGATGGACAATTAAAAAAACGGATTCATCATTGCGATATGGGTTTGTTTGTCATCTTTATTAATAACGACCGGGAGACATAACTGTAATGAAGCTAGACAAGCTATCGTTTTGTCATATAATTTCTTGACTAACATTCAGTTTCATGGCGAGTATTTGCCAAAACTTACTAAAAAAAGACTAAATTCAGCCGCGCAATAGTCCCTTTTAACAACAAATCAAAACAAAATTCTTCCAACTTACGCTTTTGTTGTTGGATCGGCCAAAGCTGAAACCTCTTCCAAACATTCCAGTCCATGATGATCTCGCACCTTGCTGTGGTGATCTGGCTTCCTCAGCTTCACGAAGCCGAGCCTGGTTTCGTTTGAAAGCTTCAATTATATCATCCTCTTGCCGATAAAAGTCTAACACTGAGCGAATATCTTCAACGTTCGACGTGGCAATGGCTGTAAAGAAAACGAGGCAAAAGTGATTGGACTCTCGGCGCTCGCGGACTCAATTCCGCGGGAATTTTTGGCGCGACCCACTCGGAGGAAGGAAAGTAGGAGAGAAAAGGGAAAGAAAAGGAAGGTAAAAATAAAAGGAAAGGAGAATCGTTCTTTTCTCCTTTCCTTCTTTCTTTCCCCACGAGGAGTCTGCTCACAGGAGACGAGTTTGACACGAGTTGAGGATGGAGCATTTCTTGAACTAAAAAGGCCATGAAGTTACACTCATTTTTTTGTTAAGAAAGCCTTATGCGGGCGCAGACTGAAAGGTCTTCTTTCGTTTGGCAATTTGAGCCTGAGAATGCCACGACCACGGACTGGAAAAACATCGCAAACTTGAAATACGCAATTCTCGCTGGGAGCAGACTAGCTATATACTCACGTCTGATGTTAAGGACGTTCGCACGAAAATGTTCTACACGATAGATTTTCTTCAAACTTCTACTGAGGACAGATGATGAATTACTTGTTTCAGAAATAATAAAAAAAAAAAATTGGGGATCACAGACTTCGTTTCAGAGATTAATTATACAGCAGTAAGTTAATCCAGTATTGTCAGCACAGCTATTATCCTTTAATTTCTGAAAACTGTCCAATTTGGGATTTAATTTGGACAGTTTTCAAAAACGACTTTGAGTAAAAACCCAGAAACTGTCCAATTTGGGAAAAAATAGGACAGTTTGTTTCAGCCAATGAAATTAAGCTATTAACCTTCCGAAGATTATCGAAGGCCAAACGAAACCTTACGAAGATTTCCAAAGATCACCTGAACACTCCCGGAGATTTCCGAAGATCCCCCGAACACTTCCGAAGATTTCCAAAGATCACCCGAACAATTCCAAAGACTTCCGAAGATCTCCCGAACACTTCCCAAGATTTCCGAATATCACCTAAACATCTCTGAAGATTTTCAAAGATCACTTGAGTACTTCCGACGATCGCCCGAACACTTCCGAAGATTACCCGAAGATTTCCGAAGATCACCCGAACAGTTCCCAGAATTTCCGAAGACTTGTGACAATGTCCGGCGACCTCCGAAGATCATCGGATATTTTCGAAGCTTTCCCAAGTTTCGGAAGATCGAGGGCCCAGTCTGTTTTTCTTCATAGACAGTTACTGTAGCTTTCCTTGCAAAGCTGTATTACCTCACGAACTATATAATTAATAAGTAACAGGACTACATGCTTATCTAATTTGGAAATAATTGGATTCAAAAAATTCCTCAGACAGCCAAATTGGACTTGGCCTGCGGCCTCGTCCAATTTTGGCTGTCCTCGGAATTTTTTTTCATCCAATTATTTCCAAATTGGACAGCATGTAGTCCTATTACATATACAAAGCGTGTGCAAAACTAGTCTGATTTTTACAAATTGGCGCGCGTAAATCAGCATGGTCCCCAGGTGTTGTTAGCTTCAAATATCAAAAATGAATCAACAGAGAAAAACTATCCTAGTAATATTTTGTATAAGTGAATCCGTTGCGTTAATAAGTCCAAATGTAAACGTTTTCACAAAACTTAACCCTTCAAGAGGCATTTGAAACCGCCGCACAGATAAACGAAGAGCTAAAAAGAACAGAATTCGATGGTGCATTTTGCAAAAAGTTCAAACTTTGCTAAATGTAGAAAATCAGTAGCGAAAATGATCCATCAAAAGAAAAATAGGGGTCATCGAACGTCCAAGAGTAAGGATGCGCAGAAACAATTAGCGCGAACGTCCTTAAACAAAACAGACAGGAAAGAAAGTTGGAAGAAAACGAATCTCTTATGTGAAACCAAGTTCATTGGTAAGCCATAAAACTACCTGAATATCTGTAAGAGTGATCGTGCGGGATCATTCGGAACGGTGCCCCGTTCAACACTTGGAGATTATTACGCCGGCAGTGAAGCAATCTGATTGGTTGACTTTAGTTATTGACCCTCTGAACTAACTTAGTTGTGCAATAAAAGAGTTTATAGCGAGGAAACTGAATGAATACTACACTATACTTACTTTGAAGAAAAGGTATGAGATCAAACAATGTTCTGTCATTGGGGTCGCCTTCCCACTTTTTCAGAATAATGGCGTTTCGTATGTTGTCCTTAGGAGCTTTTTCGTCACAGTCAATCATGATAACTTTAGAGAGGTCGCGGTTTAATGAAGATAGATCCTGGCAAAGTGAAGTTCAAAACAATCATTCATAGTGCGTTGGACTTTCTCAACGGTCCCGAAAAGTTTTCGCACCCGGAAAGCCAAAGCAAAATCTCAAAGCTCATGATTACGAGCTGTGTTATTCTTGACGGATATGAACAGAGGTTTCTTTTATACAGGAACTTTCAGGCGTAAACACCTCTCTGGTTTTAGATACAGATTAAGTAAAAATGGCTTTGCAGGCCCGAAAAGTTTCCGGGGCTTTTGAGAAACGGGCCCCTGGCCTCTAACGTTGTGAAATTCTTGCCCTCCCCCCCCCTCCTTTCCCCCCTCCCCTAAGACACTAAAACTTTCACTGCGATCCTCTTCTCCCAGAAGCACAGAAATACCCCTTAAAAGGACTTTTAAGTTTACGTATCTAGCCAATGAACAGGGTATTTTGGAAGCGACTTTCCACAAAGACGTATTCTAGCGTTCTGTCTGCCTGGTCTTCAGGGAATTCTCCCAGCATGCCTGGTGAGTGAGGCTACTTTCAGCACAAGGAGACCAGACTTACCACAGGGAGACCAGACTTACCACAGGCAGCTCAATGGTGAAAGGTTTAGCTAGGATCTGGAACGTTACCCACTTATTAGAAGATTCTGACATTGCAAGTAGTGGGTTAAAATTTTTGGATCCCCACCAAAATCTTGCCAAGGGTCTGAGATAGTTTAGAAACAACAGAGATCTGTAAATGGATAACAACTGTGGCAGTTATGGCTTCAGAATTTTTTTCTGACATGAAAGTAAACAGGCCACCTCTAGAACTCGATAATGGTAAGTTAACCATCATAGCAAGATTGTGAAGCCAAAGTTTCGAGTGTTAGCACTTTGTGGGAGCACTTGCTCATTTTGCTCTGACAAAGGGCTAATGCTCAAAATGTTAGCTTCACCATGTAACTCTCTGGTGGTCAATTTACCGTTATCAATAGACCATACTGTATTCGTATTCTCGGTATTGGACTGGAACTAGCTTGCAACTGAGGCCATTGCAGGGAGTCTTTTCAGATGTTAATTAACAATTAGACCCGTAGCCC